TGTATATTCTCTCGAATTCCCACGACCGGTACTCCAGAGTGTAGAGCCGGAGGACTTGAAAGGAGCATAGAACTGGAGTAGAGAGAGAAGGATAGTCGCAGAGAGGAAAGAGGAATCAAAAAGGTAAGAGAAAAGGTAGCGAGGGAGAGGAGGCAAAAGGGAAAGAATGAGAGAAAGGGAGAAAGAAAGGGAAAGGACGAATAGTTGAGGAGTCATCGAGTTGTTGAAAAGGAAGAGGGAGTTGGAAGAGGAAGTAGCAGGAGGATTAGTGAGAGGGTGGGGAGAATGAGGAGGAGCACTGCTTTCAGAAGAGTAAAATAACTACGGGATCGCCGGTGAGAAGAAAGGGAGGGTATTATTATTGCATTAAAGGCATTGGAGGATTAGATGGAGAAGTTCAAGGGGAAGTGAAAAAGGATGGAGGATAGTCTGGTAGGCATCAGGAGGGAGCTAGAAGAAATGAAAAGAAGTGAGGATGAATGGAGAAGAAAAGAATGGAAAAGAGAAGAGATAGGAGAGCTGGAGTTAAAATTGGAAAAAGGCTTAAAGATAGGGGATGGAATGAAGAAAATGGAAGAGTTGGAGGAAAGGATAAAGTTTTTTGGAAAAAGGGAGATGGGAAAGTAGATAGAGGTAAGGGAGGCGCTGAGGAGAAGATGGTGAGAATCTTGGAGAAGGAGAGGGAAAGAAGAGAGAGATATGAGAGAAGGAATAACATAGTAGTTAACATAGTAGGGCTTTTAGGAGAAGGGAAGGGATGCAAGGAAAGGGGTGGAGGAGGTATTTAAGCAAATAGGGACGAATGTAAAGATGGAGAAAATAAAAATGATGAGGACAGGGAAAGAGGAGAAGGGGAGATGGGTGGTAAAACTGAAAGAGGGAGATAAAAAGGAAATAATGAGGAAAAAAGGGCTTAAAAGGAGGAAAGATATGGATCGAAGATGACTTGACATGGATGGAAAGAAAGTCCAGGTGGAAATTCAGGGAAGTGATAATGGAGAAAGAGAGGGAGGATATGGATAGGGAGCAGTAAAATGATGATAGAAGGGGAGTGGTTTTGGGACGAGAGGGAAGAGGTGTTGAAGGATAGGGCAGGAAGAAAAAGAGGTGACGAAGAGAGGAGGGGTTCGGAGGAAGGGAGAAAGAAGGTATAGTGGAGCGAAGGGTTGATCAGATGAGGGGAGAGCCGGAAGAAAAGAGGGGCGGAGACGTATGGATGGAGGGAGCGATGGAGGAGAGAAATAGGAGGGGAAGAGAGACAAGGAGGAGGAGAGGGGAATAGGGGCAGGGATTGTTACAAGGTTGTATTTTGGAATGTAGCGGGATTGAGGAATAAAGATGGAGATTTCTGGAAGGATTTAGTGAATTGGGATGTAATGTTTATTGAAGATGTAGGTTGAGAAGAGAGGATGGGAGAAAGTGAAAGGAAAGTTGTCGATATAATTGGGAAGTGCAAATGGTAAAGAGGAGGAACAGAAAAGGTAGGGCGATTAGGAGGATGATGATTATACCTGTCGAAATTTTGCCGTCACAATGTGATGATACTCTGTTTCTGCTGCGTTTCTGCTGTCAGTATCTGATGTTATAAATCGTGTTGCATTCTTGCTGCATTTCTGTTATCATAGTGTGAAAGAATAAATATGTCAGATATTTACTACTATTTTGCAACATGTCTTAGCGTATCATGCTAAATTTTGGAGTATTTTCTATTAAATACTGTGGCAACACAAATAGCTTGAATTCTATATTTGATGACAAGC